ATGGCGGACATGCAATCGTTGGCGCTGACGTCTGTTTCAATGTAGGAAGTGTTATGAACAGCTGATCAGATCGGCAAAGCTGTTTCTGGAATATTATGTTTTTGTTCCTGCAATTTTTATGCAATTTTTGCAAAACTATATGTAGAAGGACCTGGGACAGGCTGATGGCATAAGCCTGTCCTCCGGTTTCATATGCAAAAGAAATTTATTGCGCTAGCTCACGCGGTTCAGGTTCTACAGGGATTTAAAAATAATTATGCAAAACGGAGCGTGCCTGCTCTGACCGGCTTTAAAGGGTTAAGTTAACTGTATATTTCTGTACATTTAAGTATTATTATTCATATTGCTGCATTCATTGACCTTGTTTATAGGTAATTTCATTGTTTAATCACATTAAAATGTTCCTAATTTAATGTTTAAAAGCACTTGAAAAAGGCAAAATCCCATGTAAACTGTATTTCTCTTTACTGAAAATAACTGTATTTTCATGAGGAAGTTATTTTCTGTTATTTTATGGTATCATTTTGGCGCCACAGCTGCTGGGATATTACTGTTTTCTTAGGAGTTTTTTTTTACGGTGTATAAATTACTTGCACATTCATGTGATTCCTAATTAATGATCCCATTAATCATTGCTTGTACTCCTCTCATGCAGCAGGGACTCCCACTACTCTTTCCATTTAGTTGGAGCTAAGTCACTGTTAAGGGTTTACACGTTTGTATGCAGCCTTCAGGGTTTTATCATCTGAAACAGCCGTAAATTTTGCAGCGAGGACAGTGATGAAATTCATTAGCCCAATAATGATTTATGTATTTGTTTGCTACATATCTACATATATGAAAAAGTCTAAATGATTGCCATTAACATTTGCAACATTTAAGATCAATTAACACTTACATGGAGGAAGTTTAAAAAAGAAAACAGGCATTTCTTAGTGACTCCAACTTTCAAATAACTGCTGCTGTTGCAAAAAGCTGCTTTTATTATTCCCTACATCACTAAAGCACCACACCAGTTTATCACTTTAAATAACAGTAAACAAAAACCTCCTTTGTCGGCTGTGTTGCCGATTCATCCAGGATTCTTACTCCCATCTTAAAATCAGTCGGTGCTTTACATCAGAAATGTCTCTGGACCGTTGTTGCATAAAACCCAAAATATGTCCACGCAAGATTATTTTCCTCCAGTCAGCTCCAAGCTGAACAAATGCACATGGTGCAAACAAATTCTGCTGAAGGTGCATAAACAGCTGATCCACCTTAACATCCACTGCTTTCAGTTAAAAAAGAAAAAATGACTTGTGCAAAGGCTTCAGCTGTGCATAAGATAAGCTTATTACAGCCTGTTATCTGTGACTCTGTATATATATATACAGTATATGTAGCTTACAGTACAGTAGATTAGAGCTAAGAGTGGAGACGGATGGGGGAGTTTACTGGGAGGGAAATAAAAAACTGGGGGATAAGAGAGAGGCAGTGGGAGTGAGAGATAAGAAAGTAAGAAAGAGTGGCAGGAAAAGGTGGAGGGATAAACGAGTGGGATGTCAACTTATGTACTCCAAGCCAAAGCTCAGGTAGTCGGTTAAGTGATGGAAAAGGAAATGACAGGTAGAGGAGATTTGAGGAGAGAAAGGAGATTTAAACAAGGAGACTTACATTGATTCCTTCCCAGGAAAACTCGGCACGGCCATGCTGGGGAAGGAGGGAGAGAAGGGCGGAGGAAAGACGGAGGACAGAGGGGGGAGAAAAGTACAAGAAGGTGTAGCAAAGGAGGGAAGAGAAAAAGGCAGATTAAAAGAGGAGGATGTCAGATATAAAAAGTGCTATTAATTCTGAATTTGAACATTTACATTTTGGATGTGAGGCTTTCGTATTTTATTTTTAAATGCACCAAATTATATATGTTTGTTGCTCTTGTGAAATGAAGATTAACGTTTATTTTGAAGGTCAGAAAGGACTAAAGCTCAAAAGGTCATTTTAGTTTTTTATTTTCTGGATGTCAGGACCATATGTGGTTGGACTCTGGCTATATTTCTAGAGAACTGGAAGGTTGCTGAGTGCAAATGTAATCTTTAACCCTTTAAGACCTACCATAGAACCAAGTCCGCCAGAGCTTATATTATATTTTTACATGCTGTGGAGCCATTTTTGGAAGCATTTCAAGTTGCTATACATCAATACAACCATTA